CTTCTTGGCTATAGCTATTTTGTGCTGCTTTATTATTACCAGTGCTTCCTTGGTCTTCCTTGTTTCTAAGGTGTTAGTTCTTGATTAAGTATTCTTTGGTCTTCTTGTACTTAGCTTCTTTTCTTTCATCTGTTCTAGCTTACATGCATCTGATATTAGCTTGCTCACTTTCCAAACTGATTTTCCATTTTGGTAATGCACTGGCTTTTTGTTGTTGTTATCATGATATTTTTATCCTAGATATTCAGTTATAACTGCAGCTGCTCTGTACCTTACTTAGTTTGTTTCTTGCAGTGAATTGGTACTAATATTTGATATTGCACTGTTGGCATGTTTTAATCCTTGTGCTAGCTGTTTCTTGGAATAAGCTTCAATGCATGTTCTGGGAACTTCTTGAAAATTCATCACATTTCTGAAGGAAGTCTGATTTTTCCATTCTCTGTAAGTAATAGTTAGCGTTCTTTTAAAAACCATGATTATTCACAGATTTGTTTATAGTATAGTGCATATTCTCATATTTTTAGTAAATATTCTAAAGCATAATCAGAAACCTAATGGAAGAAGAACTTGAATGATTGGCTGGACTTCTTTTCTAGAAAAAAAATAGATAAAGAAACCTAAAATTAATACAAATAAGTAAGGATAGAAAGAAATAAGCATATTTCTTTATCTGTTTAGCTATCCAAAGCCTGTGCTATGCAAACTATCAGGTTTACGAAAAAGAATAATAAAATTGAAAGATGAATGAAAGATTAGCAATATATCAAGCGAATTTTGATCAAAACATTTGATCAGCACTGTGTGACTTATGCTATTATTTGTAATCTGTACCCTTTTTTCAATAGGTCTCACATTTATTGGATAAATATAGAAATAGTGAAAAATGTATGCAGTGATAGGAAAAATTATGTTTATATTGGGGGAAAAGGTATATGTTCATAATAGTGGTTGCAAATAAAAAAACACAGGTAGGGAGAAGAATATGGTCAAAATAGGTACAGGAAGTAATATGTTGTGGGAGCTTTTTTTCTTATTTAGATTTTGAAGAAGGATTGATATCTTCTTTTAAAAACTTTCTGCAGCTTTTCTTCCTATGTGTTTTATTTCAAATAGATTAAAACAATTCAAGTGCTATTCTGACTTTAGTTGGACCCCAACTAATTTGCTTCCCACATGATACTGAATAATTGTAAAATAACAGTATCAAGATGAATTTGTAACATAAAACTGTCTTAAAAGCTTTGCACCAAATTAACTATGGCTACTCAGTAAATAAGTTGGCCTGGAGCATCAGTGAGCTTCTCCTGCGGCTGATCAAACTTTCTGAAAACAGCATGCTCCAAGTGAGTTAACAACAGAGCTGGCTAATTCATATTCCAGCTATCTCATATAGCAGCTCTTTAAAGACAGTATCCTGAGGGAGGATATACCCACCAGCATGCATTCAAGAATGACTGGCTATAAGAGAGGAAAGGTGCTGTGTAACTTTTGATAATAGTGTAGTAGACAATGGTTCAGCAGCTTAGCTTTCCACCCCTTTAGCACTATGATTTTTCCAGATACGCTTGCAAAACATGGCTTTACACACAGTTACACAATTCTCCCCTGTTCTTTTCTGCATTTTAGTTTGTAGTTTTTCTGAATTTTAGGTTCCAGTTAGTGAACACAGTATCTTCTGATTGTTTCAGCCTCATTGAGATCTCCCCCCACATGTATGTGTGTGAAGGCAGACAAAGAAGCCATTTTGCCTTTTCTAGTACAATAACTTCATACTGTAGAAGAGTATCAATTCAATTTTTGCCACTTCTTATTTTTCTCTGTTAGGCTCTGCGAAGATGAACATAAAGTTAAATCTGAGACACTGTTTCATTCAATCATTTTCTCTGCAGAGACATCAAGAGCATTGCATTTGATGGGAATGGGTATTACCATAAACAAAAGCCACATAGGCAGTGTGCAGACTTTTGTGGCTATTTTAGAGTTTATATGTTATGCATAATTACTTCTTGCTCTTGATTCTTCAGTGTTCATCAGTCCAGAAAAACCCATTTTGTCTGTCCTAAAATATGTGCAACTGTCAATTGACAAGTTACTCATTACTATATTTAGATGGCTTAATAATTTACAATTTCTATCATATGATGACTGAATAAAAGAATTGTGCCACTTTCTTTCCCATACTGATACCTTTTCATATCTGGATTGTTGTGAAAAGTGTTTGTTATTATTTGCTAGTTTGGGCAGAAGAGTTGCTTCACATATGTACTGCTTTCATTTTTAATAATTGTAAACCACACAGATAATTTTGTTATGAGCTTGTATATAAGCTTCACAATCAGCAGACTTTTGACAGAAGGATTTTTTTTAATGCTGAGTCTAGGAAAAGTAAAGAATAATAAATGTTACAAAAATAGCATTTCTACAACATGAAATCTACTTATGAATATCTAAGATAATATGAAATAGCAGAGTAAATTGCAGTAAGAATATACGCAGGCACAGAAATTGTTTTAGCTTCCACCTTTCAAATTAGCTGCACATTTTCCTTTTGTTGAGTTTGATATTAGCAGTGAATTTCCCCCATTTTGCTATTTCTGGTCACTAGCTAAATCTCAACAATTTTGCATGCTGTTTTATTATGACTGAATTATTGCTGTAGCAAAAACACACCTTTAATAAAATGGGGTATCCAAATCAAAAAGACATTTAAGCATAAGTGTATAATACAACATAAAGCAATTTAGGTTGAATTTGTTTTTTATATGCTTCAACATTCTTAGATGTATTCTAGAATAGGAAAATCAACCTGTGACAGAATTAATAGATTGGTAGAATATAATTGAAAACTGGCTGAAAAAAGCTGAACGCATCATGCTACCTTCAAATCATATGGCTGAAGAGAATCACAAAAAGTGTTATAAGTCTCATCAAAAATATAATCATTATTTGCAATGAAACATCAAATATATTTCATCATAAGTATACAGTGCCCCAGGGGCTCAGCCCTCTCCCCCATGTTATTTACATCCAAAGAAACCACGGGGTGTAGTAATCTACCAGTTATGGGTAAGTTATTACCAAAATGAAAAAATGTAGCAGCTATATATATATTCACCGCAGGTTAAATGTTGTCATCTGTCAGGACCTTGGACATGGAAAAACATCTCTAACTCAACAATAGCAGTGTGGCTTTTATTTCAAAAAAATGTTTCTGGGATGATACCAATTTTGACTCTCAGCAGGCTTCTGCTTCCAAGAAAGCATAGGCTCAGTTTATACTACATGTCTTCCAGAATGCAAAATTCTTGATTGTGGATCAAATTTCAGTGCTGGCCCAGACAGCTTTTAACAGTTTCAGTTTGTTCATGAATTGCAGCTTTTGCTTTTGCTACAATTGAAAGCCTTGAGGATAATCTTAAATTTATTTTAATTTTGTCTATATGGGACTATCCTTAAAGACTATCCTTAAAAACCTCAGCTGGAAAATGTGTCTGTTGTGTTGTTACTACTGCTATAGGTGTCTGATTGTTAGTGTTTCCAAGTGCAATTTAAAATGCTAGTTGATACATGGCTTTGAGCTGGATATTTTTGAGACCCTCTTTTCAGGAATAATTGAAGATAAGAGGAGATCTACAAGCTAAAAGGAGGACACATTGTTTTCTACAGAATGTTGGCAGTGTTACGAGGAATAATATTAGAACTGCAATAAAAAGGGCATGCAGAACACTTTTTCCTCTGTTTCTCTTAGACAGGAAGCATTATAAAAGTATCTTCAATTATATAGATAGACCACTGATTCTGAAAAAGTGTGAAATCTAGATGGACATTTCTTTAGCACAGAACAGTCTTTTTTATCAAGCTTATTCCATACAGACTGATTTTTGATGAGGTTTCTCTGGAGATTGATATTAAGAACTTATTACTTCAGCTTAAGAGGGGCAAGGTCAGATATTTAACTGATAGTCACAGAATCCAGTACATAACAAAAAGTTTGAGACATACCAGGACCTGGCACCAAGACTTTAAAAATGTAGAAGTAGACTGGATTACTTCTAGAAGTGATTCTAGATGATTGAATCATGGTGATTACAAATCTGTGTGCTGTATAGCAGGTGGCTAATTACTTTTGCTCTGAAGATTTTTATTGCGGTGGGTGCTAATTGCTACCATTACAATTGGTAAAATGCAAAATGACATTTCCAAGTTTGTGGGTCTGAACATAAACAAACATTTTGTTTCCTCATTGCCAAGATTTCAAAGGAACTACCTAGGTATTTAAATACCTTAATTTGCTGATAGAAAACCCATTAATTTTCTAAAAACAACAGGCAATGACTTAAGTTTTTTTTTAAAAAAATACCCTAGTTTTGTTTTAGTATACTCAGTTATCAGTAGGCCCCATGGAAAAGAAAAGTATCAAAATGATAATGGTTCCTCATCAAACTGGAAAGTGGTAGTAATGGAATGCAACAACATTCAGTTCTAAACTCTGGACCTTTGAATAACTTTAGATGAATTACTGTATGAAGAAGTAGAAGAGTATTTATGAAATTTGCATAAAATTTGTTGGTATAACTAATAAGTAGAAAACTAATTCAAAACATCCTTGATCAGTTTAAAAATAAACTGAAAGTAGATGAGCGAGTGCAAAGTATAATACCAAGTTGGTATTAACATATATACCAACATATCTAGTATTCCCTCTTCAGCAGTATAATAGGGTTTCAAGCAAAAAGGCAAGAAGTGAACAGTGGAAATTTAGGCTAAATAATATAATTTATAATTTGCAATTCATAAAGAATAATATTGTTATATTATGACACAGGGTCCAGATATTTACAGCATTGTTATCGCTATTATATCCAACCAAATTAAATATAGAATCATAGGGCTGGAAGGAATCTTGGATGTGTTCTAGTCCAATCAACTGCCCAAGGCAGGATTCTTATACCATTCCTTGTCTTATTTAGGCTAGACATACCTTGTTCCCTTAACTGTATGGTTTAGTCTCCAGACTTATCATTTTTGTTGATCTTCTCTGCACTTTTTCAATCTTATTTTACAGATCTCAAGAAATGTGCTTCTTGTACTGATGTATCTGATTGTAGAACCTATCTCTCCTTCCCAAGAATCAGATCATGACCCTGTCAGTTTTTAGAAAGGCCCTGAAATGTGAGTCTTTTTTCTTGTATTAGGACAGTAGTAATATATAAATTATTAGCTCCAGTGTCCTTGTTCTCTGTCTCTGTCTCTGTCTCTGTCTCTGTCTCTGTCTCTCTCTCTCTCTCTCTCTCTCTGTGTGTGTGTGTGTGTGTGTGTGTGTGTGTCTGTGTTATTCTTCTATGTATTTCAATATTTTGAATCTGTCAACCTCTCAGAATTGCTTGGCAAGTTATTGGGTATAGAAATTAAATAAGTAGATATGTAAAATACTTTTTCTTATAGCAGCATTGATAGCATTGATATTGTTACCTAGTTTAGGTAATGAAACTCTTCAAGAAAATAACCAAGCTCACAGAACACCAAGGATCCCTCACTTTTTCTTATTAGTTGGTTATCAAGTTACTGTCTATTTCTCAAACATCTTATTTATTGTTAAATACATTTAAAAGTCTGAAACAGAGAATAAGGGATTTCTGACAGATGATGGAACATAAGATTCCATCTGTTGCTCTGTATCATTTTCTTTCAACACATTAATTTTCAATAATTTTTATTTACCTTAATTATTCAACAAATTGCTTTTTACTTTCAACACATTTGCAAGTTCATTGCTTCCAAACCCAAGAACTGACACCCATGCAGAACATTTAGCTAAACAGACTATGGAGTGGGTAGTTACAGTCTTCAAATATATGAAATGATCTCATGTAGATGTAGCAGTGGTGAGTTGCTACCGGTTCTCCCCGGATCAGACGAACCGGTAGCAGTGGTGGCGGGAGGCTCCACCCAGCTGCCCGGATGTCTCTGCGCATGCGCAGAAGTGTCACGCATACGTGTGAGCACACAAGCACCCACAAGCAAATTGAAACCCACTACAGAGAAGTAGGTCAAAATTATTTCTTTATGAGAAGCAAAAATATTAATTTTATATAAAAAAATATTCAAATGACTATTGAGTAAAATTACATTTGATATTTTTAATTCATTATTTAATTGAATATTTTATTATAGAATATCTAGCACTTGTGGTTTTACTTTGCTTCATTTAGAACGTGGGTGTCAAACTTGCAGCGTCACGTTGATGTCATGTGATGTATCACAATGTTTTCCCTTCGTGGAGCTGGAGGGGAGGCATGGCCTACTCATGACACATCCTCCCCATGGACCATCAGTTTGACACCCCTGATTTAGAACATTATAGATTCCTTCTGTTTCTTTTTCTATATATTTCTTTTTTATTTTCATTTAAAAAGTGAAAAATTGCAAAGAAAAGGAAAAAGAAATTCATGTAAGTGGATGCTTCCACCTGTGACTAGTTGTGAAAATATATCTTAAGCCATATGTATATGCAAATATTTTCATGCATTTGTTTTTGAATGGATTCCTATGAACATGAATCTGTACTTCAGATATGCACATCACTCAGTTCAAGCCTGAATTGTCACTTCAGGAAATACTGATCTGACTTGGAAAAGTTCAGGAACTGACTGATTTGATTTAGAGCTTGAATCAAAATTATATTTCTGGCTCCCATTGGTCTCTGTAGTAAACTAACAAATTATTAAAAATACTAGAATGTTCTTTTTTCTCAAGTAAATATAGACCACTAGGTTGTAAGAATCAGTATGATTCCTTAAATTCAGTTTTTAAAAAGAATAGGGGAAAAGGTTGAATCTAAATTGTTTTTATTCCTTTCTTGTGGGAATAACCTGCTAAATGTCAGATACAGAAAAGTGAAGAGGTTTTTATAGTGAAAGCATACATAACTATACGCATAGATACTATTATACTATTCCTTTTTGGTATTAGAAATATTATACAAAGGACAGAAGAAGAATAAGAAGCACTGCTACAATTTCTTCCATTTACAATTGATTTACTTTTACTTTCAGACACAACTCTTGGTCACACATCCTTTCTGAGGCTTTATGATGCAAACCTATGGTTTGGGGAGGGAGTGAATTGTTGGTGGTTACGCTAATACATTTTCAAATGAGATGAAGGAGTTCAGATTATTATGATGTAATTATAATGAATTTAAAGAAACACAAAGCAGGCAGAGAATCTTTGTTCTTAAAAATATGTAAGCATTACATATGTGCATGCACGCACACATACACACACACTACACAAATGCACTTATACCTGTTTTCTTCATTACAAAACTGTAAAGAGGCAAGTAAATACTGGGGAAGACAGAAGCACCCTATAGATGATACTATTGGGGCAGTGGAGGTTGCCCCCAGTTTACATCGATTCTATAGAACCGGTAGTAAAACTGGCAGGAGGCTCCGCCCACTGACCCTGACATCATCAAAACACTTCTGCACTTGCACAGAAGAGCACACGCATGCGTGAGCAAAGCGAGCACACACGCGCGGCCCCATTGCGAACCGGTAGTAAAGGTAAGTAGAACCCATCCCGTATTGGAATCTTTCAACAGAGATCTGTACAGCTTGTCCTTTTATCCTTTGTTGATTGCATTTCGTCAACAATTACCTTATCAATTCTTTTATTGAAATATTAGGTTTCTGGGTCATAATTGACTTGCTGCATGGCAGTTAACCTTATTTTTGGTAACTGTGGTGGTGCAGTGGTTAGAATGCAGTACTGCAGGCTACTTCTGCTGACTACTAGCCGCCAGCAGTTCAGCAGTTCAAGTCTCACTGGCTCAAGGTTGACTCAGCCTTCCATCCTTCCGAGGTCAGTAAAATGAGGACCCAGATTGTCAGGAGGAATATGCTGACACTGTAAAATGCTTAGAGAAGGTTGTAAAGTACTGTGAATCAGTATATAAGTCTAAGTGCTATTACTATTGCCAACTGGCATTCCAGACAACTGGTATTATGGTTTCCTTACTTTTCACCTTCCTTTGCATGACTGTATTTTTTTCTCAAGTTCAAATTTCATTCTTTTATTTCTCCCAGCATTTCATTTTTATAACAGTAATGGGGAAAAGAAATGATAGAAAACAAAGGAAATCTAAATAAATGGTACATCAGTAACATACATTACATTTAATGATACTTTTCCATCATTGCAAATTGTCTTTGTTTCTATCTTATCCATATATCAATTCATGCATTGCCACTTGTTCTTTAAAGTTATTATGGTTTTCAGGTTAACTCAACTCCATATAAACATGACTTTATGGAACTTCTCTTGATTTGTTCATTCTATTTACTTTGGGGGTTGATTATTCATTTTCTTAATACAGGAATATCCACTTCAATGTAATATTTTCATATTTGTTACTCATGTTTGTATTCAGTTTACATTCATTCTGAACCTGTGTGTTCTTGACTTCTGTTCTTCTTGTTGTACAACATATAATTCCCATTTATTTGTATGTGACTTTTGACGTATCTACTTTTATTTCCATATAAGAAAGTGGATAGAAGTATGGTCTCCTACATAGCCATTTTCATTTCCATTGAAGTATACAATATATCCATAAATAAACATAAACAGATTCATAAAAGACAATACATAATAAATGACACAAACAGTACATAAATTGATCTAACTGATACATAAAAAATAGATTAGGAATGCAAATTAAAAAATAGAAAAATAAGGTAAGAGAACACCTGTCAGCTATAGATACATTCAAATTGCCAGATCCTGATGGACTACATCCCAGAGTTCTTAAGAAAGTGGCAGATGTGATCTCAAAACCATTGAAACATATCTTTCAAAGTTCTATTTCATTCTTCAACTGACTAAATTAGTGGATCAGTGAAATGCAGTAAACATAGTATACTTAGATTTCAGTAAAGCATTTGATAAAGTAGACTACAATCTATTTCTTGGCAAGTTAAAAAAAAATGAGATAAACAGCACTACCATCAGATGGGTTTGTATCTGACAAATTGTACCCAATGTGTAGTCCTTAATGGAACTACATCCACATGAAGGAAAGTAAATCTAAACGTCTAATTTTTTCTTGATTTATTTTCAGTCCTCAATCACTGGTATTCTGCCTACAAATAACATGCACATTTGTGCATATTTACATCTCCAACTAGCATATTATTACCTAATATATTCTAATATCAGCAAATATTTCTTATTTAATAAATAACTTTATTAATTGATTGATTAACTGTAAATAAGTGTTTTTAACCACAAGTAAATTAAACTTCTAGGAGAATATTATTTATACTTTTTTTCCTCCCTACATAATATTCAACCATACACCAAATATTTCCCTTTATGCCATTTATCCTTTATTTTATAAGGTAAAATTCTTATTGCATTTAGAAATTATCCTTCAATTCCATTTTTATATAAAACATTCAGCATTTCAGGCATTTTCACTTCATTATTTTTTTAAATCAACAAGATACAATAGATTTACATTTACAATAAATTTACAATATTTATACATTTTTCAATGACTTGTGGAATTGCAAATAGCAAGTGGGCACTTTGCCAGTATGCTTGCTAAATAGTCTTGATTGTCACCATTAGTATCTTTTCACTGGGAATTCTAAGCACACTTGACATTCCCCTTTTAGTTTTGCAATTATTGTTGTTGTCTATCCCTTTGTATCAATCAACATAATGATTATTTTTGTCAAGCATGAGAGTGAATGCTGTCTTCACACATGTTGAACAAGCAATTCAGCCATCCCATAAGCAAACTAGATCCACATCTTCCATTTACATTGTCACTTGAGCTGCCAGTTACTTTGTCACTTGAACTACAATATTTCTCTGCCTCATTTCTTTATCAACCATTGTCTTCTATTTTTTGATTCACACATCTATAGTTTCTTTCATCCCACTAAGCTTCCTTTCTCATATTTCCCATTAGCCTACATTTGTCTAACACTTTCAGCACTTCTCATAAGAATCTTCAAATCATAACAATGAATTATAAAACCAATAGTTATTTTATATTAATTTATTGTAATGGAATACATATGTGACGTTGAGAAAGAAAAGAAGAACTGCTGCCCAGAAAACAATCAGACAAGAAAGGCAAGAACCCATGTTCACTAAAC